AAAAGCATCCGTAGTCAGAGGACTAGTACGCGCATCTTCGAGGGTACCAGCCCACAGCAATGTAGGTTTATGTGATGGTCCAATATAAGCACAATTTGAACTGAATCAGAAGTGCATTGTTTGGAGAAATGAATTGAATTTCAGTGCTTTTAAAATCGGCTAAGCATGAAGATGCTGCCACCCGGTTAAACAGAAAAAAAATACACTCATAAACATCCATAAATCAAGCACTGTTTGGTAAACAGTAAGAAAATTCTTACCAAGCTCATGCTCATCTTCCAGATTCGGAGTCGCATCGTCAAGAACTACTTCCGGAATGCGTTCGTCATAAATTCTAGACCGCGCCAAAAGGTTTTCAAGGGATGGTGTCTGGTGCTGCAGTGATTCAGCACTTGCTGCTTGATTTGTCGATGCAACTGAAGCGCGTTTATCCATTTCTGTAGTCTGTAATTCGCTACCAAAAAATGCCAGCAGATTATACACTTTTATTCAGTTTTGCAAAGATATCGTCGAACAAACAACTATTCCTAAGAGAACGTGCATCTCACTCATTAATTTTCGACCCAAGCATCACATCTTGGTGTGGGAGTGTCAGCGAACTAAACTGTGTCGAAATTCAGCGGAATACATATCCCGATAGCTGCAAGTACACCATGAAGCCAGTGTACAGCTAAGCTTGGGTAGCACGAACCAGTCTCAGTCTGTGTAGCAAACGGTAATGTAGCAAGGGTCAACTAGTCGTGCGCAAAAAAGAACAAAACATACTTTACACACTCAAAATGGAGAACGTGAATATTCGACCAGGTCTGCAATAGTTGAAAGACGTGGGACAGCTAAAAAACTGAGATGTTGATTGAATGCAGCTACGGAACGGCCTAGACCTTTCGATAAGCTACTACAGTTGTAGCTCACTGTCGAGGAATAAACTTACAAGGCAAGTGCACGAAATTAACAGATTACCATGGAACATCTTTGGTGTATGTGAAACGTGGTCAAGGAACGAATGCATCATATGAAAAACTTTCTTATAAAAACGACCTGTAGGGATGGGAAAACAGTTTTACTCAGCGCTACAGAAGGATGAAAAAATGTTGGCGTAAGACGGTTTATCGCTAGTAGGAAATAGCCCCCATAAACCATCTCTTTTCAGTTCCCAGTCGAAAAACG